GAGAGAGAGAGAGAGAGAGAGAGAGAGAGAGAGAGAGAATGTGTTTGTCAAAAGGTGACAAAATGCCAATATTGCTTTTTTATATTTACAAGAGAAATGTGTGCTCCACCAGAACTGACACGTTTTGGGATAGTTTTTATCCCCCTTTCGCGAGAAAACAACCAAATGCTTGACTATCTAGACGGTGTCTCGTGTGACAGATGACACAATAGTTTCCTTCACAAAGAAAATTTGAGCATGCACACATATGTTTTTCTTACATGAGATTATTGATTATCTGTATAATCAACTAACAAATGCCAAGTTGACTGAAAACTGAACAATTTTATTGGGTTTGGGTGTGCATGTTCGTAGTCATCAGTCACATGAGACACCGTATAGATTTTGTCAATTTTGCTATCTGTTCCTGTTTTGTCATTCATACTTGATCTGGTTTGTACAAGCTTATGCAAAGGAGAAGTTTGCCCATTCCAATCCCACATAACAGACTTGATGATTCTTCCCAACGGACACTGTAAGTATCTCATGTGACATCACCTCAATGACAACAAACGTAACCGCACGAAGAGCAGCAGCCAATATAACTACTAAACAAGCCTGATAGTCATACAAGTACAAGCTCTTTTTATTAAAGACAAAAAGAGCAAACAAACACACAAATGACACACAAGCATTCAATATTGTCACGAAAATAGGACACTGTAGTCGGGGATACGATTTTGTGTGTGCTGGAAAACAGGTGAATACAAGATAGCACAGGGGTCAGAGTCATGAAAACTGCATTTTTTTTCATTTTTCAGTGGAGATGGTTTCGATGGCTTAGGGTGCCGAACATGTAGCTCTGCAAAACAAGAAACAGTGAAATGTTATTCACAGATATGATGACGGTTGTGGTCATCAAATCCTGGTGTCACATGGGATACTAGAATTGGGAGAGTGAGAACAATTTTGTTTTGATTTTCATGGCATTTTTCGAAATGAGTCGCAATAACACATTTCATTTTATTGAAAAATAAAAGATTGGGTTTATTGGGCTGTGCCTTAATTTATCAGGCTCAAAAGTGTCTCGTGCTTCGCATGACCACAACTCCATGATGTCATCAACTCCTCGGGCTTAGTTTTTCAATGCATGTTTTATGGATGTCTTAAATGGTTCTAAAATACATGGACTGGAATAAACAAACCGTACAATGAAAAGTAAAGCCAGTTCTTTAATGGTAGGTTTTCCCTGCATAATTCAGTGTCTCGTGTGACAAAAACTGTCTCATGTGACAAATCAATTTTTGAAGACCACAAGAAAACTCTTACCTTTGCGGTCTCCAGTCATCTTTAACAAAGGGAAACCATTGTGTTCCAAACTCTTCGGAGCTTTCTCTCAATAAAAAAGTTGGACTTGGCCACACCGAAAGAAATCTTGATGGAGTATGGGTTTGGTGTCCCATGTGACAAAAATGACACATATAATCTCTGAGCGAATTGGTTCAACCTCAGAGATTAGACAGTCATAAGACTCACACATTATTACTCCTCGAGCATATCTTTTTTTAGTAAGGCGATTACATTCTCCATACCCTTACTCATTTTACCAAGGAATTATAAAAACTAGAGCTCTTGTGATGACAAGGTGTATCACACGAGACACCCAAACTTTATACTAATGTTTGCTCATAACACGTAACACTGAAATTATTTTGAGGTTTATGGGAAGCTAATTTAATGTCTAAATAGCTATTATGCAAATGTTCATGTGCAAACTCTTATACATACCTGAGTTATGATGTTTCTAGTTTTGGCACTATCTGACATACTGTATTGCACCTCAAAATATGCAGTCGACCGAACAGTTGTTTTGTACAGTGGAATCCTGTTGTAACGAGAGGGAGGAGACCGGAGCAAAATGTCCGTTATAGCAGGATTCTCGCTATAAGGGATCCAGTAATAAATTCAAGGGAAACTAAAAAGTAGGCCTAATCTATGAGTTTGGTGTTCTGTTTATTTCCTTTTGCTATCTCCCCTGATGATGATTTTGTTTCAACATGGCCTCTAGATCTTTCTTGATCAAAAGTCGAATCAGCTTTCTTTCGCTAGATCTAGCGATGTGGACTGACAGCTCGGCGTTGGCGATCAGAAAGAAAGGGCTCTGGGCTAACTCGCCCGCTGTGTTTTCCCCCACCCCACCCTGTGGTGCATTCTGTCTGCTTGTGCACGTCACACATTCGCTCCTTCCATCACATTGCTGTGACCTCTCCATCTCCGCATCGGGGAAGTGAGAGGCATGGTAGGCCTTGATAACTAAACTAGGCTTACGCTGGCCTATCACACGGTGCGTTCTGCTTGTTTGCGCATGCCACAACCTCCCTACCCAGTCGCTCCGGCCTTCATTGTTGACACACATGGGCTCTCCCATTCTTTGTTTTGCTAGATCACCAACAAGTTTCTCAACTGGCGAGGTTTTGCATTATGTATAATTGGCCTATGCACTGTGCACAGCAGTAGCAGCAGCAATATTCAGCTATAAGCGACTAGCATGTTTGTCTGATAGCGCTATAGCAGTATTTTATTTACAAAGGTAAAGAGGAGAAAAAAACGGGGTTTTAGAATAGTGTCTTTATAACAGACTTCTCGTTTTTTCCGGACTCGTTATAAGTGGACTCTACTGTAACAAAAAATTTCAAACTTGTGTATAATCAACGAGCTATCTCTCGCTATCTCTTTGTCCATTTCTCTAGCCAATTCATCAATGCTGAGCCAGAAAATGCAATATACAAAAACAGTATGGTTACTGTATGCCACTGAATAAATGTCACCCTTTGACCCGGGTTCTTATATATATATATATGTGTGTGTGTGTGTGTGTGTGTGTGTGTGTGTGTTTGAGCGTGTTGTGTGTGTGTGTGTGTGTGTGTGTGT